TTTTACAAAATAGATCAACGTAGACTCGTATACACACAAAGGTCAGGAAACATCCCTCCCGTTGTTTTTGTTTCTCATCCGTGTTTCTTTGGCTTTAAACATTCCTCTCTTGCGGTTTTTTCAAATACAGGTTTTATAAACTTGGACAAGTTGTTTTCCTCCAACCAATCGCTTACAAATTGGAGGGATTTCCCAGCAAAGAAGTCCGCTAACTGGTGCAAGTCGCCCCGTGTGGTTCGACGCCAATTTTCGTCCCATAATTCCTTGCGCGGATAGATACTTCAATTATCCCCACCCCCTACCCCCGGGACAAGACTGAATTGAACCATGCATAAGGTAGTTCCTTGCCATTTAATTTTTAAAAGAAGAACAGTCATGATGTTTCCCGGCAGGCTTTGCACGGCAACTACAACCAAACCAGACCAAACCATGTTTCAGACCAGCGAGAGTCGATAATTATTTAAAGACAATTTGTGTGCAAGAATTTCTCTATTCTATTCCTCTCTTTCTCTATTCTATTCCTCTCTCTCCTGATACTGAAGATTCTAGCCAGAGATGAGACGGGCCAAGTTAATGATTGAAAGGATTTCAGTAATAACTCGACGTGATGATTTGCATTATCACAGACAATAAAGAATGAATAGACCACGGACAGTTCTAGTCTGAAGTGTCAGCTGCCTCCTCGCGTCACCAAACGAAAAACTACTTGACTCTCCAAATTACACAACACATATAAAGGACATTAAACCAAATGTACCTATTCAACATGTCTGAAAGTATTGGGACCCCCCTATTGGCGACATTGGCTGATGAGGTCTATTGATTATTGTCGGTAGAGTGAGATAGTACTTACCAAATTGTTTCTCGTAATTTGACGAGACGCTTCTCACTCTTGCTAACTTTGCAACGCAATTTATTCTTCTTACGAAAATTCTCTCCTCCTTTCCCTTCCTCGTAAAAAATGGCCACACAGTGATTATTACTTCTTCTTCTTGTTCGCTTGACATCGTCCCGCACGCGGTCACGGCAAATACGGTAGATAAGACATCCGAGCCAAAGATTCCCAGCCCGGAAAGTCAACAAGTCGACGTATCATTGGATAAAACGCGTTACTCATATCAAGTATTAACTGGAAAAGGCTGAAATTACAAACCGCAAGGCTTGCTTGCACAATAACGGTCCCTGACTGTGCAAGCTGATGCGCTGAAAGACGAAAAACTTAGCTCCACCTTGTAAAACGTAAACAAAACCACCGGAAGCGAGAGGATTCGAGTGAAAACGTAATACCGCAGAGTTCCGCAGACACTTTTTTCACCGATTACCGCCGACCTAAAATGTATGAAAACCGCAAACCGCTTTGTCTTATAAAACCGCAATACCGCAGGTTAAAATAAAAATTTCCGCAAAACCGCATCAAAAATAACGCAAAACCGCATCACCGCAAACCCTTACGCCCCCCTCCTAAAGTTAAGTGAAGTATTTAATAAAAGCAATTATCTTCCATTCGCCCTTGTTGGATATGAAATGATTATAACCAATTCAGCGCCGAAAGCGCTGCCTCATTGGTTATGTTATCATCTCATATCAAACGGCGCGGCCTCATGGAATAAT